CCCCCCCCCCCCCCCCCCCCCGATGAAGGGATCATGGCCGTGGAGTGACTCCGTTTCGGGCCAGGGGTTTAATGAAGAGATCGGAATTGAAAATGGTTGGGGCGTTCGACGGGCTACACCAGGGCCGTATCTAGGATTTCATTTCCGGGGGGGGTATGAGATCTAGCATTCGCGCTGTGGCTATCTTTTTTATGGTTGTCATTGTAAGTCTTTTTGACATATTTGGGTTTTCCTGTAAGTTGCAGTGTTTAATAAGTCATAAGCTATTAAAGATAGAAAAGACCAAGTATTGCACCGTTTACACCGACGAATAGCGGTATGGCAAAAATTTAAAGAAGGCATTGGGGGGGGGGGGGGGAGTTTGAACCCCATGAACCCCCCCCCCCCTCCCCCTAATGTGTAGCCTTGTGCTACTCATCCCGTCGGAAGTGCTCATATCAAGATAGCTGAGGATCGGCTTGCAAGATGGCGGCGCTCGCGAGGGGGGCACGTGCCGCTGGAGGGGGATGATCCAGGCCCGCTTTCGACGATGCGATTTCTGTGTGCCGGCTCAGGCCTCAAGTTTGAGCTCGAGTTTATGTAGGGTTTACGCCTAGGCCTAGGCGTGAAATCGAGTTTTAAAATTGAAATTGCCGTAAAATTGGACATTGTGGCTGTTCGGCCTGCGGTAACTTTGAGAACAGTAGAAACTCTGACTTTGCTTCTAAAGTTAATCTGTTACCACGTTTCGGTTTTTCTCAGTTGTTGCCCGAAATGAGACCAAAGATCCACTCCGAAGTCTAAAACTCATTAAAGCCTCGTCATAACTGGGGAGTACATGAGAAATAAGGGTATTTTTTAATTTTTATGCTAACTTCCTTGGAGGCTCTATGACAACATGGCCATTCTTTGCTTTTACTATGCATAATAGACAAGATGAGAATGATCAATTAAAAACAGAGCTTCTTTAACACTGCTGCAAGTTTTATTTAAGGAAGAACTATTGCTGAACTAGCAGGACCATAGCACAGTTGGTGTAAATAACCAGAATGCACAGTTCATTATAGGAAAATAGCATTAATCTTCTTCCTTCATTTACTCCTGGGCTAACCTCTTGATTCAAGTTCTGATGATTAATTTTAGAGCATTATTTTACCTACTGATGTAGCAGAGTGACTTTGCCAGGTGTGATGGAAAAGAGGTTCAGGAAAAGTTGAATGTTGTGAATTGCAACAGTCAAGATTTTTATCTGTGAAAACTGCAGTTGTGGAAAGGAATATGGCCAATCCTGACAGAGTATCAAACCGAGCGGTAAGCCACTTTTGCCTTAGTTTTGCTCAATGATGCCATTAATGTTTTTAAATCATTCTGGATGGACATTGTCTAAGTAATAATTCATGGCTCCTTTCAGGGCACAACCTTGTTCCTGACTCAAAAACTGGAGGAGGAGCCTCCCATCTTCAATAAGCACAAAGCCGACTTTGACACCTCGCACAACATCACTCATCTTGTGGCCGGCAGCGACCACCTCGTCATCGCCCTTGCGAGCAAGGTCCTGCGGAAGGTCGATGCCAGCAGGAAGGAAAAACAAGAAGCGGAACGTCCTGGAGGTGATGCAGAAATTCCAGGCTTTTTCTCTGTCCTCAGTTTATGTGTTGCATGAATTTTCTTTTTTGCATCCACAGAAGTGGATGTTTCCAAGCAGTGTGGTCCTTCAGGGACCATCAGTGGTGTGTATATAGACCCCACTGGGAATCACATCCTGGTAACTGTGTCTAGGAGGGATCAACAAAATTCATGTGATACTTATTATCTCCATTGGAAGAGCAACAAGCTGAAGCAGGTTTGAGTTGTTTGTTCAATTTCCTCATTAGCTCTAGTATTTCATGAGCACTTTATACTTTTACTATTGGCATTCATTAACTCAATCTGGACAAGTATTATGCTATACCAGTTTAGTACCTGGGCTTTCAATGTTCCACAGCTGCAAAAGTGTCGGGATCACGTGATCACATCAATTGCCTGGAACCCCAGGAACTCTGCGGAGGCTTCAACCGGGCAGATTCTCCTTGGGACCTCAAAAGGGGTCGTATTTGAAGCCGAACTCTCGCCCGAAGAAAAGATCCTCTCCCCTGGTGCTGAGCAGTATTGGAAAAATGTGAGATGTTTCTTCTAAATTTCTCTGATCCATCAGCAAAGTAATTGATGATCATTTACAGCACAAGCACACAAATCAGTATTGTGAAATTCAGAATTATACGTGACCTTTTTAGGTGTACGAGTTGTCAACCCCTATGGCCATCTCTGGTATAGAGTTCCATCAGGTGGGGGACAGGAAGTTTTTCATCATCCTCACTACTCCAACAAGACTGTATCAGTTTGTGGGGCTTGTGACCGATCTCGAGGACCGCCCGGTGTTAGGCCAGATATTTAGCAACTACATCCGCATCCCAGGTAAGACATCTTGAAAGATTTCTTGTCTCCACTGTTAATTGCGAGGACTGCAATCACTCACATGATGGTCTAATCCAATTCAGAGAGGTTCTTGGAGATTGCAGGCTATTCAAAACATTCCTGTCTTCAAACCTTCCGACCCACAATCCAGGAAGCTCCAAAGACTTATGCCTGGCTGACATCTGCTGGGGTGCATTTCGGCCAGGTGCTCGAAGAAATGCCTTTTCCTTGACTATAACATGAGATGTGTTATTTGCATCAGCTGTTCATACAATGTCTTTTAATTTTAGATTGATCCATCACAGTCTGAGAATGTCACCTGCAACATGAAGCTTTTTGACTATGAAAAGCGACCAGATGGCAGCTTCATTGTCCCGCTCTCCCTCACCTCCACCGAGTTTCACGTACTCCTTGCATATCCAGATTCTATCCGGGCCATTTCCTCTTTGAATGAACAGTTGATCATGGAAGATCCCATCTTGGGAGTAAGGAAATCCTCAGTGGAATGAAGGTGTTTCTCATGGGTTCTATCTGCTTAGTGCCATCAAATCTCTCTTTCCATTTTACAGTCAGTAGGGAATGTGGTAGGAATCACAAGAGATGCTGCCCGTGGAACCATATGGGCCTTTTCTCAGAGGGGAGTGTTCCGCTACACCGTCACCAATGAATCTCGGAACGTGTGGCAGATCCTCATGGAGCAAGGGGACTTTGAGAGGGCGAAAGCCCTGTGCCATGGCAACCCTGCCAGCATGGATCTCATCCTCGCCCGGGAGGCCGACTTCCTCTTTGATTCCCGCAAGTCTGTTCTTGTTTTGGATCATTAAGACTTCAGGTTGTCACTTAAGCTATGTCAAGGTGCTTCTTTTGTTATTTATATTCTTACCTTCTGGTCAACCCTAGATCTTTGTACCTTCCTGATGGTATTCCTTGTTCAAAGAGTCTCTGAACCTGAAAGAATTAAGGAGAAGTGATCTTGGTTGTTGGTGTAATTTGTTTTGCCCATATACTTCACATTGAATTTTCCTTGGAATCTTCAGATTCTCTTCTCTTCCCTTGACTTACAGATTTGAAGAGAGTGCCAAGCTGTATGCCCAAACAAAAGTCGCTTTTGAGGAAGTTGCCCTCCGCCTCATTGACGGCAAGCAGGAGGCTGCACTTAAGACATTCCTTCTGCAGGTCAGTCAGGATTCCACTTGCAACATTTTTGGAAACACAAACTCCTTGATGGCTTACTGCAAAGTGAAGTATTGCTGGGTAGGATTTCAGCCTAGGGTTCCATTAAGTATTTTTAATGGGAAACTTTTGCTGTCGGCTATGATAAACTTCATTCATATGTCTTGTGTGTGACAGTTATCTTCTGTTGAGACAAGATGTGGCATCAAATTTTGCTTGAAATCTTAAAACATTGTGGGAAAAGTGCCTGGAACCTTCAATTTTTACAAAATCCAGTCATCACTTTTGCATATTTTCCCACAGAAACTCTCATTCCTGAAGCAAGAAGAAGTAGTGCAGCAGGTGATGCTCATCATGTGGTTGCTGGAAATCCAGCTGAACCATCTCGGGAAGTTGAAGGATGACGGCCGTGGGCACACGCCAGAGTACGAAAGACGGCGAGAGGAGTTACGGCAGTTCCTTGCAGCCGAGCGAGTGTGGCGGTGCATGGCCCCACAGAAAGAAGTGGTCTATGACCTCCTCGCCAGTCATGGGGACTCCGAGAACCTGATCTTTTTCGCTCGGATCGTCAAGGACCATCAGAAGGTCATCCAGCTCTCCTTGGAGAAATCTCAATACCCCCAAGGTTAGCAATGTGAGATTCTAATTCCAATATGCCAAGTTATATCATTTAAATTCTTGCCAAAGGCTGTTCCTGTAACTTGTTTATTATATATGAAAGGGGAATTCATATAATTGAGCAAAGATGCCATTATTGGACACTGTCAAATGTTAGATATAAGGGCTTACTTATCCTCAGTTATCATCTCAACAACCCAAACAGCATGTTTATGTTAATTTTATGTTAAATGAATATAAATTTTTTGTCCATTTTATATCATTTTTACGCACACCATTGTCAAGAAAATGTCAACATGTTTGCAGAAATGTCACCTCTGTGATATGTAAATGGTGATATAAAATTAATGT